CAATAGTATACAGGTGCAATTGTCCTGGATTCAAATTACGGGTTCAGATGTACGGGTTCAAATGTACGTAGGTTCAAATGTGCTGTCACCGACCCGTAAGAGACTTGGTACTAATTTGAAAAAGGCATCACGAATGCTTCTGTGAGCTGTACATTTTTTAACTAAAGCTGTTCGGAATCAGCCTACACTTGAGTAAGGACTTACTTATATAGGCAACGCAGGTTTGAATTCTTGGGTTCAAATCTCATGCCTACCACCTCGCCGAGAGTGTATTAATTGGTTGGCGATGCGAACCGGGAAAATTCCCGATTTAACACAGTGTTTCCCAACCTATGAACTTCAAGTATGTGAAACCTAATGGGTTGTTTGATGGTCCGGCCCCCAAGGTACCATATTTCTTTGTTTGGCCCATTGCGATAAACAGTTGCGAATTCCTGACCTTAAACTATACGAACAATTTTTGGGTCTAGCGTACCACAAGTGGCGTAGCATAAAGATTTTTGCATATGTTATTCCTAACTCACACCTGACTATGCCATCCAAAAATGACGTTACTAAGACGTCACAATCAAGTCAAAGAAAAGCTACGATTGCCGGAAATGACATCTGTGCCGACGATAACGAACTCATTAACACCAGCAATCTTTTAATATTGGATTTGATTAAACGATAAAACGAGAGAAATAGCTTTCTCGATTTCGGGTGATCGCCTGCACGTTTTGGACGACATTGCGTATACTTTGGACTGGAGGGTCTCATTACATCACTGTGACGTCGTAGTTACGTAATTTTGGAATGACGTAGTGAGGTGGGGGTAAGGAATGACACATGCAAAAAACTACTAAACTACACCAGACCCGAATTCTCCGGGGTCAAAAGTCGTAAAAACTTCCATCGTGGTAAACCAAACAAAAATACGAAAGCGTTATCTCCGTATTGAGGGTTGTTTATTCACGTAGTTGAGTCAAATATTAATGAATAAGCTCAGTGTCTGAGCTACGCTGTTGACAAACAGTTCAATCGTGTACGAAATTATTCGAGTCGCGATCGGTCGATGGGATGTCAGCTGGCGTTAGCACCGAGATTTAGGTGAAACAAATGAGGGAAAGGGGGTATTTTGTCGAGGTGAAAAAAAGTTGTATTAGAAAAGAAACTTTCCAAAAAAGCTGTGTATTACCTTGTTATTTCTCTGCCCCACATTTTTTTGATCTGTTTCCTAATACAGCTAGGATAAACAGAAATGTTTGTTTGCAGTAGGTATATCTTTTATTAGCAATAAAACTGTTTGTAACTTATAGTGTGTGTTGTGTATTTACCTGATCATCCTCACCGGCATATGAGGCACTTTCTAAAGATTAAAATACAATTTTATTAACGTTAAGAAGTAAAGTATGGTGTCACATCTAAAGATTAGAGTGGTGTTTGAAATTTTAAGAGGGGGTTCACACCTGTATAGGGAAGGGGTAGGGAAATCACCGGTGAGAAGTAACATGAATCAGCTTATTCTACTAACCTAACGCAAAATAAGCAAAATAACAGAAAGCAAATCAGGAAATTAGTATGAGAACTTACTACCTAAATGTTTTCTTTGGCTTGAACTTCTTCTTCAAGTTGTGCAAAGGGGCTGAAATCTATGGGCAGGGGGTATATTCTCTTGGCCAACACAGACGGTCCTCAAACTCGTAATAGAACTAAAAAAGAAAAATCGGATTCAATTTCGACAAATAAATGAGTTTTGTGTCAAAATTCGTTTTAAAAAAATATAGTTTTAAAAAAATAAAGTATTTTGGGGAGTTTTAGCTTGTTTTTATCTTTTTTTTCAGTGTATCTTTATGTCTTCTTTTGTGAAATAGCATTAAAATCATAGCCTGGCAAGTAAATAGACTATGGATGAAGTATTAAAGTGCTCTTCTTGTCAAACAAGATTTGAAACAACTGGGCCGAGAGAACCGAGAATGCTTCCATGTCAGCACACATTTTGCAGGGGTTGCATTGATGATATAATAGAACCGTATGAGTAAGTACCACCAACAACTGTCAAAAGCCACAGAAAATCTTGCAAAGACGTAAAAATATATCCAAAAACCATAAAAAAAAAAAAACGTGAAAGCGAATTTTCTTTCAAACTACTACCATATCATTTTTACAGAGTAATATGTCCAGTCTGTCGCAAAGTTCATCGTCCGGCAACACCTTCTGGAGAAATTCAAATGAATAATACAATTATCCGGTTGCTTGATGCTCAGGTAGTTGTTTTCATTCATATTATTTAGAAACTATCTACCTAAAAACAATTATTATATGTATTCTTGGGAGAGGGGAGCCGATAAGACAACCCGGGCCTATGGAACACTAGGGGCCTCTCATCATTTACGATCCATCCTAATCTTTAGATTAGTTCATTAGTTGCTAAGTAAATCGCAACCAGAATTTAATAGAAAGAGCCACGCATGATGATTGCACTTATGATTGAGTATTTTTTTTTCAGAAACCAAATATAGTTGAGGACTTCGCAACACTCTATTTTACCAATGTATTGCTTTGGATCATTCGTACAATAAATCACTCAACGCCATTTTACCTGAAGCTCAGATATAAATCAGTGGCAAAATTTCTTCGGGAAATGTTCAGAAGGCCGCTTGCGTTTTTCCCCGAACCAGAAATGTCTGAAGACGAATCGGGTTGTATTTTCGCTTTTTGGTTCCTTGCACTTGCAATTTATAGTTACATTTGGCTAACTGTAAAAAAGACTGTTTTAAACTTCTGGTCTCTGCCCTGTTGGAAGGCTTGTGGGGTTATTATTGTAAATTTTGTATGGGGTTTTGGTTTAATAGTGAGTTGTTCCGAACTTTTCCCAAAGTAGATCGTATTCCGGTACTCCCGAAGTATGTGAACCAAGATGACGGACATCGGAACTTAGTATGTGTACCAGGTTAGGGTTAGGCCATAATTTCAGGTACAAAGACTACGGGAGTCTCTTGGCTAGTGCCCGCACTTGTAATAGAACTAAACTAAGGATAAATGGAATACAATTATGACCTAACCATAACTTGGTACACATACTACGTTCCGGTGTCCGCCATCTTGGTTCGCATACTTCGGGAGTTTTGATTGAACTATTTGGGGGATATTCAATTTAATTGCAGATTCACACAAGCTCCTTAAAAAAATACAGTGTCTAATTAGCAATAGTAATGTTTCAAAATATCATTCAGGTCCACTATCCGCACGTGGGCCCAAGATTCTGATAAATCTTTTTTCACTTATTCTCTCTTACTCTTCTTATGCAAGCTCACAATAACGTAAAGCAGCGGTGGGCGCAACCTACGCCTGGTGGGCCAAATGTGTCCCCCCCCCCCCCCCCCCCCACACACACACCCAATAATTTTGATGTGTGATACCTCACTGTCATTTCTAACTCAAGTAGTATAATTGTATTCTAGAAATATAGAATAGGGCATATTTATAAGTGTAGATTGTCTGTCAAATACACAACATATTTTTGTAGGTTACAAATAGTTTTATCGCTAATAGCAAAGTATTTACCACCCCCCAAATTTCGAAATACTCTCACCCTCACCCTGAAATGAAAAGGCAAGGGGACATACTGTAGATCAGGGGTCGGCAACCTTTTGTCGCTCGCGGGCCAAAATTAAGGTTGCAAGTCATTGGCGGGCCGCACATATTTTTAGAAAGTTGAAAAACAGAACGGATGGTATTTTTTATAATAAATATCAAGCAGTGATACATCTTTTGAATAGAATATAGATTTATTTCCTCATTCATCTCATAAAATTCCATTTGAATATTTCCAGCGCCATTAAACCCTTTGCACTTAGCATCAACGTTTCTGCGTTTTGTTGCCATCTGCTTAATTATAATTAAATTATATGCTAATTAAACGAGTAATTGTGAAATATATTTGTTAGGTTATAATATAATTTAGTCTAAAGAATATATTCGTCAAAACGGATGTTTTGTGACTATAATTTAGTGAAGCGTCTCGGGCCGGATTATAGTGCTCCCCGGGCCGCAGGTTGCCGATCCCTGCTGTAGATGTTGATATACTGCACTCAGCAATTTTACTACACCACAGCACATTATTAGTAGTATCTGTATTATAGCATTATATTTTTGGATTTTTAAAATTTATTTTTGTAGTTTTGATAATATATTCACCTATTCATTAGGATTCAGAATTTTATTCATTAATTCAGGGGGACAGGAAATTGGATAAGAAGAATTAATCATATGGTGAACCATTCCATCTCGTTCGGTTAGCAGATCATGTCGAGTATGAAATTAACCAGTTATGGGTGAGCCAGGATTTTAAAAAAAAGGTTGTGGTCTAAAATGAAAATAAAAAATTCTCGTGCTTCCGAAACAGAAGCCCCGATCACTCACCACTCGTTGGATTGACTAATTTTACTTGACAAGCCCTACTTGTTGTGAAGTCATGCAGTATCATCAAAATTATACAAGAATACAATTTGAAATGTCGAAATTTAATAAATTACGCTTAGAATTAGCGGGTCTCACTGCATACAGTGGCCTCAGACCAACGACGCTGTTCTGGCTATAAGCACGTGCATTTATGGATAGAATTTATTGAATAACGTTACAAGGATTGCATTAAAGCATGAGCAAGATTCCCAAACTTTTACGCGAAAAAATTTTCCGCGACCCCCGCTAGGTCGGCATTTTATGCAAGCGTGGCGCCTCTCTGCTCCCACGTATTCTCTCAAAATCGTGAGATTAGTGTTTCGCAATAGTTTTAATAATTGTGTCATTCGAAGCAAGAGTTCAAAAAAGTACAATCGATATTTTTGATATGTTGGTGTACTTTTTGCGACACATAAAATTCGTTGTGCGCTCCCATGTGGAGTTGCAACCCCCCTTCAATGTATGTATGTATGTCCACAAGAAGTGAGGAAATATTTTTTTCGTTTATTTCCGGAAGCAATCCTGCGATGGAAAAATGTTGAGTCAAAGATCCAAAATTAATCGAACAAATACGCAGATAATTTTGGTGAAATGCAGAAATATAGAACCAACAACGTGAAATTTCGGAAAACTGGCCTCATGTTGTTAACGTTAACCGCAAAGATCCAATACCAAATAACGAGCGCCACCTTTTTTCCCGACAATTGTATTTCAAAGCAATATGCCAACGGCATTCTTGTCATTTTCCAAACGAATCCAAATTTAGACTCGTATCTGCTATAAAAGTGTTCTGTGGGTGTAAAAGCCACTTCAGCACACGTCCAAATCCAGACGTTGATGAAATAAATCCTTACGATATTGAAGATTAGAGAAAGTAGCCTTTGACTTTCCTGAAAAATATTTCATTTTAAATACTGAGTAACGATCGATTTTTAAAGCCTATAAAGGGGGCTCCCGAAGTATGCGAACCAAGATGGCGGACATCGGAATGTAATATGTGTACTAGGTCAGGGTTAGGTCATAATTTTAGGTATAAATACTACGGGAGGCTCTTGGCTAGTCTTCGAACTGATAATAGGACTAAAATAAGGAAAATTGGAAAAAAAATTATCGACTAACCCTAACCTGTTACCCATGTTACGTTCCCATGTCCGCCATCTTGGTTCGCATACTTCGGGAGCACCCTATAAAGCTAGTTATTTTTGAGACGAGGCGCGAGACTTGACAAATTCTAAAAAGGGGGCGCGGTCTAAAAAGTTTGAGAACGACTGATTCAGAAGATATGTAATTGTAGGTGATTTTTAATTGTAATGGGTTCTCTCAACTCATGAATTACTAAAATATAAAATCCACCACTCAAGCAGTTCGCTGAGTGTCCACACGCAATAAAAAAAAATTATTTTCAATAACTCACTAGGAAGAAAAAAATCGTATGTCAGGATTGCATATTAAAAATCAAAAAATGGGTAATTCACCTCGAACCTTTGGCGGATGAAAACAAAACAAAATGGCGACGATTCGAAATTTTCGTCCGAACTAATTCGGATAATTTACTATGCCAAGCCCTATTGCCAGGCTTGTCCATGAAACATATTTTTCTGTCCCATTCCCATCCCATTGGAATATAATTCAATGAAAATTGTTAAATTTAGGTTTATCGTCCACTAAATAGGAATACATCTACGAAGAGACATGCAAAACAACAATATTTTCGGACTTTGTTAACTTTATATTCATAACTATTATACATGTGTCCATCAGCCCATTCACGAAGTCTGTTGTTAAGGCTGAATATATTTTGCTCTTTAAAACTAACAAGAAAAATCATACGGTATTTGTGTCCCACGTGTCCCATGGGAAATCAAATGGGGGCTCCCGAAGTATGCGAACCAAGGGGCCGGACATCGGAATGTAATATGTGTACTAGGTTAGGGTTAGGCCATAATTTTAGGTATAAATACTACGGGAGGCTCTTGGCTAGTCTTCGAACTGATAATAGGCCTAAAATAAGGAAAATTGGAAAAAAATTATCGCCTAACCCTAACCTGTTACCCATGTTACGTTCCGATGTCCGCCATCTTGGTTCGCATACTTCGGGAGTACCATCAAATGTGTGCTATCCCATCCCATTCCTTGGGACATTTCTTATGGGATTTCAACAGCGATCCCAAATCCCGCGGACGAGCCTAACGATATCCAAAAGTCAAAAATAATTGAGCGTGCCTTATAGGGTTGGTAATGTTATTGGCTCCCTATAATGAAGTAAAACAAGGGTGTGCAACCTGCGTCCCGCGGGCCAAACGCGGGCCACAAAGAAAAAATTGGGGGCTCAAAAAACGAATTTTTAATTTAGTTCAATCTGGTATGTGCGATCAATTCCAACCCTTAGGCGTTGCAAATTATACCTGAGTCCAATTTATTATCTATGCCTATGATGTTACAATGTCCTAACATAGCGATTCTCAAAGGATGGGAATTGCTAAGTGCGCCCCGAAAATTAACAGAATTGTGTAGAACATAATTAATATTAATTGAATATTATACATATTTGTATTTATTATAAATGTCTTATAAATGTATTAATCAATGAATTCATTTTACCGTTCTATGTCGTTTACTTTTTGTTACGAATTGAATTTTTTTTGTGTAAGCTCGCCATGAGTTTTTTCCATGATAATTCGGCGTCGCACGACTAAAAACTTTGGGAAACGCTGCCCCAAAAGCAAAGCTTGCGTGAAGCAATCAACGCATGTCATAATTTTTTGTGCATACAACCACTAGAAAACCTATGTTAAATAAAGATGCGGCTCGATTTCACCCAGTTATTTTATCTGGCTCTCCGGTATTAAAGGTTGCACACCCCTAAAGTAAAGTATATTTTGTGTAGGCAACAGTTGAATACCTGTTCTTTCCTCTGAGCATCGAGAAAACGGATAATTGTATAATTAACTTGAATTGCATCGCGATCATAAGATGTCACAGAATGATCGGTTTTATTACAAACCGGACAATACGTTCTGTAAAAAAAAATAGAGTACGTCGATTCAATGTAATAAAAACTAAAAGAAATAATATACCTATACTAAACAAGAGAGCAATGCTCAAATATTTGGACACGTTAACCAGAGCGAAGTAGTCCTTACTCTTGACGCTACCGGTACCCTCAAAAAAATTCCGAGTTTCGCGTAGCAAGAATTTACAGTATCAACCCGGACAACCAGTGTTCCCATGGATGAAATAACACAACGAAATTTTGAACGAACTATCAGATTTCATACGAAATTTAGAAATAAATGAAACTAATAGCCTTCTAGAGAAAAAACCCAACTTCAACAACTGAAAATTTCAAATTGGTCCAGTAATCAAAAAGAAAAGCGATTTTTTTCATAACGATGAAATTCTGTGTCAAAGAACAAGAACAAGGATAAGAACTAAATACAGATCAGAGACCGCCGACTTATCAATCTTCTGAAACTGCTGTTTCGGTTCCTTGCTCTGGCTCAATAGCGACACCACGTGTCCCATCACTAATTAATTAATAACTCGCTAATTATACGATATAATACGCTTATTATACGATATAATACGATATGATACGCTTCTGGTCCGAGATATGATGTATGCACATGCAAAATTTGAAGCAGATTCAACCTCGCTTTCGTGAGATATCGCGTAACATATGAATGTGTCTAACAGACAAACAGACAAATATCTATCAACATACTTACCGATCGAGATCGATAAGTAACAGACAGACAAATACCTATCAACATACTTACCGATCGAGATCGATAAGTAACAACAACAACAACAACAACATAATATTAAGTCCACAAACGTGTCCAATAATATTCAAGTTATCCCCGCCTCGCTAATATATGAAAACTCATATTAATCAGTTAAGGTCTGGGTTAGGGTTACGAATGCAGATTGCGATAGAATTGCAACTATCGAATCATTTCCAACTCTAACCCTCACCTCAACTGGGTGATTACTTTGATGATTTTTTAGTGGGAGGACGGGGATAATTATTCATAATAAAAATATAAAGCGGCATGAAAACCTACCCATATGGTTTTATTAGCTCGAATGTGCAGACTTTACAAAATGTGTGCTGGCATCGAAGCATTCGAGGTTGTTTCAGTCCAGTTGGTCCGAATTTCGTTTCACAAGTAGTGCACTTCAGTACTTCATCCATGGTTTAATTATCTGTTAGACCAGTGTTTCCAAAACTTTTTAAGCAGCGCGCCTTTTTAGGGTAATCCCGTGTGTACCAGGTTAGAATTGGGTCATACTTTTGTTCCGATTTTCCTTTTTCAGTTCTATTTCGATTTCGGGGACTGTCTGTGTTAGCCAAGTGAATATACCCCCTGCCCATAGGTTTCAGTTCCTTCTCACAACTTGATGCAAATTTGGCGAACAAAATTAGTTACCTCCATATTGATATTACCTACTTCTAGAGCGCCGGAAAATTTACATCCGACGGGTACATCATTTTATAATTATGCTTAGAATAATTCTGTCGACTGACTGACTTTTAGACTGGCTGACATTCAGGCTTGAAATTTATAATCTACGGCGACAAAAATTAACAGGCGAACTTTCATATCGCGAAGTCATCACCCCTAAATAGCTCATGCTACAATCCCTACTTCAAGAGTGTGCAATCTTTAATACAGAAGGGCCCTATACAAATAACGGGGTGGAATCGAAAGCCACAATTTTATTTGTAAAAAGCTTCCTAGTAGAACAAGTACAAAAATGTTCGTTTTTGATTTTATTTCATGCTCTGTTAGCTTCGCACCAGTTATTTGTAAAGCATTGCAACGCCGCGGGCATAGACAACAAATTTGTCTTTTGTAGGATTTGCATCGCAAAAGGATTAGCATTAGTATATATAGCACGCACCACATTAAGTTGAATTAAAAAACTTGTTTCGCGGGCAGCACTCTAGTTAAAATTGGCACTTCGAGTCGTATTTGGCCTGCAAGCCGCTGGTTGCAAGCTCCTGTCTTAATTGCCTCACCACTCAAATTGTTTGATTCTACTTATCTTTTGCACAGTTAGCTCGGCTGGGGGTGTATTTACTTGGCTAACACAGACAGTCCCCGAACTCGTAATAGAAGCAAAATAAGGAAACTTGGAATAAAATTATGTCGTAACTCTAACGTGGTACACATATACGTTTCGCCATCCGTCATCTTGTTTCACATACTTCGGTAGTGCCCTTAACTCAACCCTCCTCATTCTAATATTTCTTGACAAGCGCAAAGATTTTGACTTCATCCAATCAGTTTCCTCATTTTAAACTCTCAAATTCAACGACCGATCGCGCGCCTCGAATAACTTCTTACACCTTTGAACTGTTAATATTTGACTTAACAGTGTATCTGAGTAAATAAAACCCACATGGTCGGAATACCGAGATATTGCTCTCGCATAGGCATAGTAATATTAACCAATTGTTGTCGTTAGTTTGGTCCGCGGGAAAATTCCAATTTGAAATGATGTGCGACCGTGCGGTCAGCGAAAAGATTTATCTATTACATACCAGTAATTCTAAAGCCTATATCTGAACTTGAGCGCACAAAGCATGCCATAAGATCAATTACCAAAATTTGTGTGCCTGCAACTACTAGAAAACCTATGTTAAATGAAAGTGCGGTCGTGGTTTCACCCAGTTATTTGTATTTGATCCTCAAGTATTAAAGCTTGCACACCCCTGGTTTATGCAATACAGACCAAAAACGTTAACCAATTTATTGTTCCTCGAGCTTCTCAACCTTTTTTTAAAGTTTGCAGTCTTGATGATATACTCAGACATTCATTGGGATTCTGATTTTTGTTCATTCGTGGTGCAGCGGTGTGGCTCATCGCGTTAAGCGTTAGGAATACGCTCGCCACCTCACCTCTGATTACTCTGCGTGGGTTCGCAGGTTCGAATCTCATGCGGGGATGATTATGTGCAAGAGAATTGCTGGACTTTTTGCCGTCGTAGGGTGGTTCACGTAAATGCTGGTCGGTTACGGCTTCCTCCATCATCAAGTCCATGATTCCGAAAACAAATAACTAATCCTATACCCGATAAGGAATGGTAACCGGACGAGAATTTGTGGTTCACCACATGGTTAAGCTTATCGGCTTTCTTCTCCTCGGGATAAATATGCAAATCCTATCCTATTAATCCAGGGGGGTAGGAAAGTGGTCAAGACGTATCAAACCTCTCTGGTCCGGTTACCAGTCAGTATGGTGTGTATGGTAACCAGAGTTAGGGTTAAACAATCATACTAAACATATGGTCTTCCAACTTCTAAAAAACAAGAACTGGTCGGCTGCTTTTTACGATATTTTAAGAACGGTGTGCCCCCCCGTGCCGAGTTTTTGTTTGACATGTTTTATGACGTTGTGTGACGTCATAGTGACGTAATTTTCGGATGAAGTAGTGAGGTGGCGTTTGAGCATATGCATTTAAGTTTTATGCACAAATTTATGAGCCATGCCAACTAGAAGTACATGGTACCAAACTACATCAGAACAGACTGAGGTTAAAGGTCGAGGAAATATCCATCGATATATAGAGCTAAAATGAAAGCAAAAATAAAGCGATACCGTTATCTCGGTAGTGCGCGTTGTTTATTCAGTTACGTAGTTGAGTCAAATATTTGTCTGGGCCCTTAACGAATGGTTCATCAGTGTACGAAATTATTTGATGGCGATCGGTCGTTTAATTTAAGCGTTTAAAGACGTGGAATAACTGATTAGATTGTAAAAAAGTTTAGTGTTTTTCAAGTGAAGTAGAATGAAAATGCTAGAATAAATTTATGTACTTTTCTGATATTGCCCTGCCGCTGTTTTTGCGCACCTTTTTTTTCAAAGGTTGGGTCGGGTTAGGGGCGGAAGATGGGTCAATATTCTATACCATCCAATCCCAACTAACACAATATAAGCGTAATCGAAAAATTTCCGGTACTCCTGAAATATGCGCACTAAGATGTCGCACAACCTGAACCTCAACCTTGTACACAACATGAGTTTAGATTGTGCGACATCTTGGTGCGCATACTTCAGGAGGTTTATATTTTATATATTTTAGTTATATTACGAGTTCGGGAACTGTCTTTGTTAGCCTAGTGAATATACCCCTTGCCCGTAGGTTTCAGTCCCTTTACACAACTTGATGTAAAGTAATCAAACAACATTATTTACCTCCATATTGGTACACACACTTCTGAAGCACCGAAATATCAATAAGTGATCGCAGGCTTATAATATCGACAGAACAGAAGTAATAGTAAAGGAAGAAGTGGAAGAGATATTGTTTTATTTTATCTTTATGTATTTATTGTAAAATAGCATTTAAATTACAAGCCTAGCAAGTAAATAAATCATGGATGAATTATTGAAGTGCTCTTCTTGTCGATCAAAATTCGAAACAACTGGACCGAAAGAACCGCTGATGCTTTCATGTCAGCACACATTTTGCAGGAGATGTATTGAGGACTTGATAGGGCCGTATAGGTAAATAGAGTATCTATCGCGGGTATGAGTATCACAAAGGTATATTCACAAAGTCATGCACCAGATTTTAGTTTATCATGCGGAATTATAATTACTTAAACCTGAAACCAAACCCAAAATCCATCAAAACTGTATCCATAAGAAATATGTTCCTACTCACCCAATATTTTTCACCATAAGGGCAGCCCCTACCATTACAGCCGACATGCTGTGGTTACGGCAGCCATATTTTACCCGCCTTTGGTTTTCAATTTTGCTGACGTAATACTCCAAGGCAGACTCCACAATTCCACAAAATATTTGAAACTGCACTTGATCGATTGGGTTTCTACGGGACTAACTACTTATCCTTCCTCTATGCTTTTGCGACGGTTGATCCGTATGCGTATAATGCAAGGATGCTGTAGCAAGAGTGAACACAACTATCCTAAGTGATTCAAGAGTCTCGCTGCACACTAACACAAATATATTTCTGTAACCTTTCGACTAACCAAAATCAGACTTCCTCAGATAAGCAGTTTACAACAATGACAAGAAAAGAAGAATGGTCAAACAAAACGTATCAGAAATACAATTGTGTCAGTGTGCAGCAGGACTCTTGAACTGCATAATATACTATTATATATATATATATATATGGTTTTTGTAGAGCAATATGTCCAGTCTGCAATGAAGTTCATCATTCGGAAACATCTCCTGGCAAAATTCAAAGGAATAATACAATTACCCGTTTTCTCAGAGCTCATGAGAAAGAGGTAGTTTTCATTTATCTTATTTAAAAATTTGGTACTCCCGAGCTATGTGAACCAAGATTGCGGACACCGGAAGGTAGTATGTGTACCATGTTAGGGTTAAGCCATAATTTCAGGTACAAATACTACGGGAGTCACTTGGCTAGTCCTCGAACTCGTAATAGAACTAAAATAAGGATAATTGAAATAACATTATAGCCCAATACCAATCTGGTACACATACTACGTTCCGGTGTCTGTTATATTGGCTCACATACTTTGCGAGTACCAAAAATTGTCCACATAAAATAAATTTCCATTGGTATCCTCCGGAGAGGGAACCCAATAAGATCACTCGGACCCATAATAGACTAGTGTCTATCGTCGTTTACGATGCCATAGGTGAATAACACCTAAACTGTAGGTGGAAAATCGGCACTCCATACGTGTGCAGAAGAGCATCAAGATGGCGCACAACCTGCTACACATACTTTTTTCAGTTTGTGCGCCAACTTAGTGCATATACTTAGGGAGCACCAAAAAATCGGCTTTTATAAAACTTAGGGAAAATTGGAAAACTGGAATTATGGCCTAACCTTACCCTGGTACACATACTACGTTCCGGTATCATCCATCTTGGTTCACATACTAGAAGCGTACCAAATTGTAAATTGTATAGTTGCATCGAGTTTTTAATTTTTTTTTTTTTGCAGGACGGAAATATAGTTGAGTACCTCGTAACGCTCTACATTATTAACGTCATATACACACGATAAATAACTCCACACTTTTCTACCTTGAGTTGAGATTCAAGTCAATGGGGAATTTCGCTTGGGAAATGTCAAAAAGACCGTTTGCACATTTCATCGTAGCAGAAATGTCCGACGACGAGTGGGATATTGTTTTTGTTTTTTGGTACTTTGGGAGTGCAATTCAAAGTTGTATATGGCCGACTGTGAAAAGGACTATTTTGAACTTCTCATCTCTTCCCTTTTGGAAGGCTTGTTTGATTATTTTTGTAAATTTTTCATGGGGTTTGATTATAATTAGAGGTTATTACAAACTTTTCCCAAGATAGATCGTGTTTCATTCCTTTTATTGTACATATAGTACGTTCGGGTGTCCGCCATCTTGGCTCATCATTATAAATAGTATGGCCATGTATAATTTTAATAAAAATAATATGCAAAATTACTTCGCTGTGTACAAAGCTCGATGAGAAAATTTATTTGATCGTGAATCACTGGTACAAGGTGAGCCCCACCCCACCACTAAACAAAAAATGAACCCAAATCAAATATGCTCGTCAGGTAAAAATTCATTCAATGCCATGTTAATGTATAACTTACGTAAGGACACTACATATATTTT